TATTCAACGGGAGTTGTGCCGGGTAGTGTTGGTAATGTTTCTATTTCAAAACGGTTGTGTTTATATTACTGCTATTTGCAATCAAACGCGCTGCGCGCCGAATTTTTATCGTTGTTTGCTAACAGCCAACAACGACGTTCATCTCTACTCAACGTTACGTTCTGCCCTAATCAACTTTATGTTCTGATTGAATATGCAGTGCTGATTTGAGTGACTGTTTTAAAAATATTTCAACCGTCAACTCATTAGAACTGGCTAATCAAAACATACGCATTTTATTTATATTGTTGGCTAATTTTATTCAGTAAACACTCTACTGGCGAAAGTGTGCAGTGAATCTAGCCTCCTCCGCAGGCATCTTCTATGTATTAATATTAGGCATTTATATTTGGCTTGGGTTAGCTGTGTCGGGGAAGGCGAGGAAAAAAGTGGGAGAGATCTCCAGCAATTTTTTTTCTCGCCTTCCCCGACACAGCTAACCCAAGCCAAGTATAAATGCCTAATATAAATACATAGAGATGCCTGCGGAGGAGGCTACAGTGAATCTTATATAAGTGTAAGAATAAACAGCATCTTACGTTGATAATCACTCGTGAATCGTTGCGGTGACATTAGCAATCGTTGCGGTGACAACGTAACGTTGATTAACGCATCGGTCAGATTTCTCAAAAAAAAAAAAAAAAAAATATATATATATATATATATATATATATATATATATATATATATATATATATATGTATATATACTAGTTATATACTATATGTGTAATGATAATATCCTTCAGGCGCTTCAGCGCAACTAGTAGTAGTAGTAGTAGTAGTAGTTGTTTATTAAAAACAACATCTCGCAGTCTTAAGACTGAATTACATGTGTTGGATACAAAATTTAGAATATAGTATAGAATATCAATTTATATAGTACATTTTATAATACTGACTAATACTTTTATAATACTAATTTATTTATAATATACTATTTAAACTATTTAAAAAGATAAAATGTTTAAGTTTCCTTATAGTGTTTTTTGGCATAATAATTTATAAAAGAGTTCCCAAAGCGATTCGTACTTGCAGGTGGGACTTGGAAAGTTCTTTCTTTCCGTAATTTTCTATTGTCTGCTTTCGATGGTAGAAGTTTTGCAAGCTTGTGGTCAGCATTTGATACAATATCATTGAAGAGTTTTTCGGACAAATATTCACGTCTTTTTCCAGGGTGGAGATACCAGCTTTGAAAATGAGCATCATTATAAGACAGGTCAGGATATATTGTCCTCAATGCTCTCTAAAGTTTGTTCCCATTGGGAGTTAAAATGCATTCTAAGCTCTGTAAATACAAAAGAACAGTTTTATCAGATCGTTTTTGTTGATTGTACATGGGAATTGTCATATTCCAGCTATCAGTTCGCAGCTAATTTGAATTTCAAAGGTGTCAGTTTTTTTTTACTCACCCTGTATATTTAATCATATTTATCTCAAGTACCATAGGAAATTAAGTTAACTAGATTTAAGCATGGGTAAGGCATGCAGTTGGACCAGAAACTTGGCAGCATAGTTGAGGTATTCTGGCAGTAAGGAGCTAAAGGCTCGCAAGCGAAGAGCAAAATCTACAAGCTAAAGTAAAGTTCTTAGTTACTGGGAAAACATCTGTAAGTCGTTTTTATTTGTATTTAGTTATTGTAAGGGTTTGGTTTTAGAGTTATATATTAATTTAGGTTTATGTATTTGTTCTATTTAGTCGAACCACGTTCACGCTCACGTTTCACGATTTGTATATCGTCAATTTTGGGTTAAAATTATATTCAGATTGTATACGAGTTTATGATCTACTATTGGCGTTGCCATTGGCAAAAGTGTATCTATACCCATTCTGCGTGCGTTTTGGACTGTTTTCCCCGCCTCAATTGTGCTCACACGTAAGCTTATACCGTATTGGGATTACTGTTGTGCGTTCGATGGTGTTAGAGCTTACAAAAGGTTTTCATCGACTCTTGTAATCGTACCTTTATAAAGGGACAGTAAGCGATTGCAACAAGCGTTATTTTCAGGGGCGCCGTGGGTGTGCTAATGTAGGGGTGGCCAAAGGCAACATTATTCCGACCAGCACGTTTTTTTCCCGACATCTTTATAAGAAACAAGACGCCTGTTCTGGCGTTAACTCCGGCGCACGTGCCAGTTTTCAATATAGAGCTTCTGAACATAAACAATACAGTTCATATTCGCATTTAGATGCCTTGCGAACCTAAATGTTCGATCGCGAAATTCAGAAGCACATCGTACTTTAAAAAGTATAAAAGTTAAATCGTTCAAGAATGTAAATAAATGGTATAATACATTCGCTTTGTCTTACACTTTGCCTTTGGAATTCGCGCTTATATAGTTATATTAAATCTTCAATCCTGTGCAAACTACGACGAGTCAAAGCGCCCATACACGACCACATCATCTTGTTAAACGGCGAAATAGCAGCGATATTACTAAAATAGGACCAGAATCTACACGTATTAAATATATTCTTACCCCAATTCAGTCTAAACTTAATCGAAAAGCATGAAAAGAACGGTTTATTTGTTCCTCTTGGAGGAATTGCCGTATCATGCGAGCGAAATCGAATCGCGCATCGGAAAATTAGCCAAAGCTGTACACCACAACTCTTGGGAGATAAGACTGGGACATAGATAAATCCAATCACATACACATTTAAATACTAGAATGTTTCGCGCCATTACACACTTGCGACGACGAAAAATAATAAAAAAAAAAATAAAAAAAAAAAAAACAAAAACAAAACAAAACCGAGGCGAATTTTCAACTCCGTCGCTGACGCCGGAGTAACAAGACGCCTGTTCTGGCGTTAACTCCGGCGCACGTGCCAGTCTTCAATATAGAGCTTCTGAACATAAACAATACAGTTCATATTCGCATTTAGATGCCTTGCGAACCTAAATGTTCGATCGCGAAATTCAGAAGCACATCGTACTTTAAAAAGTATAGAAGTTAAATCGTTCAAGAATGTAAATAAACGGTATGATACATTCGCTTTGTCTTACACTTTGCCTTTGGAATTCGCGCTTATATAGTTATATTAAATCTTCAATCCTGTGCAAACTACGACGAGTCAAAGCGCCCATACATGACCACATCATCTTGTTAAACGGCGAAATAGCAGCGATATTACTAAAATAGGACCAGAATCTACACGTATTAAATATATTCTTACCCCAATTCAGTCTAAACTTAATCGAAAAGCATGAAAAGAACGGTTTATTTGTTCCTCTTGGAGGAATTGCCGTATCATGCGAGCGAAATCGAATCGCGCATCGGAAAATTAGCCAAAGCTGTGCACCACAACTCTTGGGAGACAAGACTGGGACATAGATAAATCCAATCACATACACATTTTAAATACTAGAATGTTTCGCGCCATTACAGACTTGCGACGACGAAAAATAATAAAAAAAAAATAATAAAAAAAAAAACAAAAACAAAACAAAACCGAGGCGAATTTTCAACTCCGTCGCTGACGCCGGAGTAAAAAGTAATGAATATTGATAAAACTGACAGGGGGTTTTGGGCAAGGACGCGTATGCATTTGCTATGACAAAGATCACGAGCTACGTCTACTAATTTAAATTAACACTTCATGCACATTGCACAATGAATATGACTGATAAACATTCACGTTTTACATACGCTTTTCAATTGAGTAGTTTAATAATTTTTGATACAGTTAACTGTTTGTGGGAAAACTGTATATTACAGAGATTTCTAATCCACATGCATTAACAAATAACGCGATACGTTATTTCACGATACTCTATTATAGCTTTGTAACCTTAGTGGATGAGCATACAGCGTATTCTATACGCAACATTTGTTTTTTAACCAAAATATAAACATATATTCGCAATTGCTTCAATCCTCTCATCAGTTTACTTCTTCTGCTGTACTATCGTGGTACCTTATCTTTGTATAAACTTCAGGAACCGTTTGATTAAAAGTACTATAAACTTGAAAAGGATTTGCTGTAGCTCCAGCATTCTGATACGGAACATGCTGGTGTTTCTTTAGACAGTCACCATATAATGCAATAAACTGTATAAACTCACTAAACAATAAATGCGGTCGAAGATACATCGCCATTCATCGCGATTTTATCGCGCCAATCTCCGACATTTCGAAAATTACATTCCTTGCGTATTAATGTTATATTAATAGAAACTATGCATGTTTATCGAAACCGGAAACGTTCGGAAGAAACAGCTAGTTTAGCCTGCGCGACAACAGTATAATAAAAACTTGGGGTAGTGTCGTACCGTATAATATTAGAAATAACCGCGTCTATTTTCTGATAGTTCAAATACTTTTGGGTTGTTCAGCATAACACAGCCACAAATGCAAAAATAGCTTAGCCTCTGTTATGATTGATATACTCCGACAACATGCAATGTTCGTAAATTTCCGACAGGTTTGAATCCCTCCCCTGGTTATTTTCATATCGGAAATCGATGTTTGAATCCTCGGCATACCGAACGGCGTACCGCCGAAAGAGGCACATTTTTATTCGTGTGGGCACACGTGGGCGCAGCCCTATTATGTTCTCCTTAAAGGCCGTATTATGTCCCTATTATGTTCTCCGTAAAGGCCTGCTTCTCTGGGCGCGTTGCCGCGTTCTCTGAGTGAAATGCTAAACGTTTCGGCTATTGCTTTTGCATTGCAACTTCTCTAGTAATGTATTGTATTGGACTCGCACGCCTAAAAGACTAGAACAGTTATCCACGGTTCTTTCCCAGCTTTCATTTAGTAAAAGTGCAGAAAAAATAGCGCCAAAATTAATTTAGATTTTTCAGAACTAGCGTTTGATTTGCCCTGCTTGCGCTAAAACGTGTTTCTCTCCTCGCGTGCCTTCCTTCCACGAGGCGCGAGAACGTGTTCCTCCCGCGCGTGGCTGCGCCCACGTGTGCCCACACGAATAAAAACAAAAATATGCCGTACGGTATGCCGAGGATTCAAACATCGATTTCCGATACGAAAATAACGCTTGTTGCAATCGCTTACTGTCACTTTATAACGGCACGATTACAAGAGTCGATAAAAACCTTTATTATTGCGACAATTGAAAGAAACATTTCGAATGCAGTACGAATAGCAAATCACACTCGGCGTACTGTTCCAGTACGAATAGCCACTTCGTATGGTAAGAACCCAGGAGGTTGTAGCAATATTGACAATAATTGACCTGTCCTTAGTGCACAGTGATTATAAATGTGTGTCAAGGACCATACAGTATATAAATGAACATTAGAACAAATTATGCCTCAGTAATATTATTTAAACTTATCTCTTTTAAAACAATATCATGATTGCCGTCCCTTGCTGTTGAACAGTTGAAGGTTTATGTTCAAACTATTATACTACCATTTGCGTTCAAGCTTGCGGCGTGCGATTTTAAAGCGTACGTTTAACGTTTCAAAACGTACGTTTAACGTTTCAAAACGTACGTTTTGTCACGCCCCCTTTCATGTTTGGGTTATTTTTAAATACGGTTTTAAAATACTGAATGCAGCTATTTGAAAAAAGAAAATTGCACCTATATAAGTTTACTTTTCTCACAGAGTAAGGTTCCATTTGTAATTCTTATAAAACACTTCCGCAAACGTTACAAATGTAATAAACCTATTTTTGGATATTAGCTAAGTTCGTTTGAACTTCAAAAACATGTCAATTTCATTGTCTAAACATGACAGGGGGCGTAACAAAACGTACGTTTTGAAATGGCAAACGTACGTTTTGAAACGGTAAACGTACGTTTTGAAACGTGAAACGTACGTTTTAAAATCGCACGCCGCAAGCTTGAACGCAAATGGTAGTATGTGTTTTTGATCTTGTTAGTAATTAAAAAAATATTGCAGATAATTTAAATTGTGTATGTTTTCTAAAATCTAAGGATTAAGGTCATTTAATGGCTTTTAATTGATTATGGTATGTAATATATAATGCATTTTCATCCATTTAGGACCAAAGGTGATGGAAATTGTCTATACAGAGCCTGTTCTAAATTACTTTGTGGCAAAGAGGATCTTTATAATTTATTGAGAGATCTTACCAACATTGAGCTCTTTAATAAGCAAGAGTTTTATGCATTCCATCCATACATTAAAGAAAATTCAAAGTTATTCAAATCCGAGAATAGTGTTTTTTCAGCAGCCGCATCTGACTCAGCCCTAGGACATGGTTATGACCGCAAGGATCCCAACAGCAGGGTAAAAGTTGTTGAGCATGAAGCCATCCGAAATGCGAACCCTGGTACCTTTTCCTCTCTTTTGTGTATGCTAGCCTTGTCATCTGTTACTGGAATGAACATTAAATCAGTTTACCCTGAGAACGCAGCAGCACCGAACAAGTATTCTCAATTTTTTTTAAATGGAACTATACAACCAAGGCAGACACGTGTAATTTTCCAACTTGGTCAACCAACTAAACTTTTTCTCTTATGGACAATTGATGGTGTGCATACTCTGCCTGGTTTGACTGCTAACTTCAACCCAAACCACTTTGTACAACTTGTTGAAGTTTTAACCAAGGAAGATGTCCCAACTAACTGAAGAAGTGCTCACAATCTCAGCAACAAAAAATTACTGATCTTTTTTCTCGCCCTTCCCAAAGTACGACAAAGTCACAAAATTCAGACGAAAAGCCATCAACATCTTCTATTGTCAAGGATGAGCACAAACCTGTAAAGGAATTCACGTGATTCCCTTGGGATCACACTAAAACGTAAGTTATTGTATCTTTCATTTAGTTTTTTTCTGAACTGCCATTTTTTCAACATTTTCATATGAAAGATATTATTGGAAGTTCACAATTACAGATGTTGTTGAGCAGATGATTGCAATGAACAAAAATGCATGTAGATTGAAGATTAATATACAAAGGTGCAAACCATTTGTATACAATCATCTGTTATCGCCCAGGGGTGGATCCAGCACTAATGCACAAATTTGCATTACAAAAGAAAGTTGTTATTTTTAGCGGTTTTCTTGTGTCATGCAAATTAGTGCACTAGTGCTGGATCCACCCTGTTATCGCCGGTTTTTGAACTCATCTGATTATAATTGTAATTCGTCCCTGTTCATTTTATCTGCTGGTCCGCTTGCACTTGCTTTAGAAAAACCTAGTACTTCTGGCGAATCATCCCTGATGCGAAATAAGGCAGATATTTCAGATGTTGACCCATTGGATATTGGACATTTTGTTTCAGTGACAACAATCGATGATGATACCAAGCTTAATTTAATTAACAATCATTGGAAGCCATCACAATCTTTCAGTTTTCCTTGTTCATCTTCGCGGCGAAAATTTTGTCTTACTTGGCTAAATCGGTGCTCTTGGTTATGTTACTCTAAACTTTTCGATGGGGCCTTTTGTCTTTCTTGTGTTCTATTTGGTAAAGAAACTGGGCATAATGGCTCCAAATTAATAAAGCTGTTCAAGGAACCATTAACGAATTGGCAAAGTGCTGCTTCAAAACTTGAGCAACATCAAAAATCTTCCGTGATCCACCGTGATTCTATGTTGCGCATTTCAAGAAAATTATGACAGGCGAAGCCATGGGTATTGATGAACAAACAGATCAAATGAGGAGCGCTCGTATTCAGCAGAACGATCTATCCTAACCTCCATCACTAAGACGATCCTTTTGGCTGGAAAACAGAATATCGCTTTAAGAGGACATCGTGACAACTCCAAGTATTATCTTTCTACCAATCCTGGTAACTTCCAATCCCTTCTTGATTTCCGAGTCGATGCAGGTGACGAAACCCTTCAACGTCATTTTGAGAGTGGCAATAAGAATGCGACTTATCGTTCCAAGACAATCCAAAACAAGCTCATTAAGGTCTGTGGCGACCAGATTCGCGATAAAATCGTGGCTGAGATAAATAACAGTAATTGTCCAATATACTCGGTTTTTGGTGATGAAGCGACAGACTGCGACAGTAAAGAACAAATGTCCATTGTCCTGCGATATGTTGATTCGAAGAAAGAAATTAACGAAAGATTCATAGAATTTGTTGAATGCGAAGAAGGTGTTTCAGGCGAAGCATTAGCGAACAACATCGAAGGAACTTTGTAAGAAGTTGGTCTTCCTCTTTCAAATCTTCGTGGTCAAGGTTACGATGGTTCAAGTGCGATGCCTAGTCAGACAAAAGGTGTCTCTGGGCGTATTTTAGAAAAGCATTCGAAAGCATTGTATGTCCACTGTTCCAGCCATCGCTTGAATCTTGTTGTTGCCAAAACTTGTGGGTTAAACTCTGTTCAAAAAATGTTGGATCATGCACAGAAGATCTCTAGTTTTTTCAGTCCATCTCCAAACCGAATGCAATTGCTGAGAAAGGAAATGGCAAAGATTGGTTTGAAGCGCCAGAAGCTTGGAGCTCCTTCGACAACGCGTTGGGTTGAACGGATCTCTACTCTAGGTGGATTTGTGGATGCGTTTGAGGCCATCTTCAACAGCTCGGATTACAATGACTTCAACAATTCGAGTTCTGATGCTGGTCTTTTTTTCACTCAATTCAGAAGTTTGAATTCATTGCCACTCTTGTAATTATTACCAATATCCTTGATCACACCTTGTCTTTGACCGTTAAATTGCAACGTCGGAAAATTGATGTCGCACAGTCCCTCAAGCAAATCAATCTGCTAAAGGTCCAGCTGAAGAAAATGCGAGAGTCAGTGGACGAGATTCATAATAAGTAGTCCGTAGAAGTTAGTGAATCCTTTCCTAGAATCTGCAAAGTCCAAACTACTCGGGATAACTATAACGTATCCAATGCCCGCAATTATTTTCGACTGAAGCTTACTATTCCAATTTTGGATCACTTGATTGGAAAAATGGAACATCGTTTCCCATCAGAAATGTGTAATCTCTATAACGGATTTTACGTTATTCCTGGTATTTTTCTTAATTGTAAAGGCAAAGACTGGAAGACGGAGTTTATGAAGTCCGTTGCAGCATATAGTGATGACATGCCAAACTTTCGTTCAATCCATGCCGAGCTGAGTTTGTGGGAAACCAGTTGGACAGAAGGCTTTGAAAAAGTCTCTACGAAACTGTAACGAACTCGCTTTTCCGAATATCTTCACCGCCCTTAAGATACTGGCAGTCGTACCAGTTACTACGTGTGAATGCGAAAGATCCATTTCTGCTCTTCGCCGTATGAAAACATGGTTTCAAGAAGCACGATGGTTAACGAACGGCTAAATGGCCTTGCGCAGATGCATAAAAGTGACGATATTACCGTAGATATACAGGAAATAATAAATACATTTGCAAGACAGAATCCTACAAGGATGCAATTCTTGGACATATTAAATGATAAAAAAGAAAAGAATAAAGCAAAGTGAATTCAATATCTAATATCCTTCAACCCTTCTCTAAAGATTTACTGTGTTATCTGCCGCTGTTGGAAGATCCGTCGCCTTGAACTTTTCTCTAAAGATTTACTTGTTATCTGCCGCTGTTGGAAGATCCTTTACCTTGAACATTTTATTAAAGATTTACTGTGTTATCTGCCGCTGTTGGGAGATCCTTTGCCTTGAACATTTTATTAAAGATTTACTTGTTATCTGCCGCTGTTGGAAGATCCTTTACCTTGAACATTTTATTAAAGATTTACTTGTTATCTGCCACTGTTGGAAGATCCGTCGCCTTAAACTTTTCTCTAAAGATTTACTTGTTATCTGCCGCTGTTGGAAGATCCTTTTCCTTGAACATTTTATTAAAGATTTACTGTGTTATCTGCCGCTGTTGGAAGATCCGTCGCCTTGAACTTTTCTCTAAAGATTTACTTGTTATCTGCCGCTGTTGGAAGATCCTTTGCTTTGAACATTTTATTAAAGATTTACTGTGTTATCTACCGCTGTTGGAAGATCCGTCGCCTTGAAATTTTCTCTAAAGATTTACTTGTTATCTGCCGCTGTTATGGAAGATCCTTTGCCTTGAACATTTTATTAAAGATTTACTTGTTATCTGCCGCTGTTTGAAGATCCTTTACCTTGAACATTTTATTAAAGATTTACTGTGTTATCTGCCGCTGTTGGAGGAACCTTTGCCTTGAACTTTTTTCTAAAGATTTACTTGTTATCTGCCGCTGTTGGAAGATCCTTTGCCTTGAACATTTTATTAAAGATTTACTGTGTTATCTGCTGCTGTTGGGAGATCCTTTGCCTTGAAATTTTATTAAAGATTTACTTGTTATCTGTCGCTGTTGGAAGATCCTTTACCTTGAACATTTTATTAAAGATTTACTTATTATCTGCCGCTGTTGGAAGATCCGTCGCCTTGAACTTTTCTCTAAAGATTTACTTGTTATCTGCCGCTGTTGGAAGATCCTTTACCTTGAACATTTTATTAAAGATTTACTGTGTTATCTGCCGCTGTTGGAAGATCCTTTGCCTTGAACTTTTCTCTAAAGATTTACTTGTTATCTGCCGCTGTTGGAAGATCCTTTGCCTTCAACATTTTATTAAAGATTTACTTGTTATCTGCCGCTGTTGGAAGATCCTTTACCTTGAACATTTTATTAAAGATTTACTTGTTATCTGCCGCTGTTGGAAGATCCGTTGCCTTGAACTTTTTTCTAAAGATTTACTTGTTATCTTCCGCTGTTGGAAGATCCTTTGCCTTGAACATTTTATTAAAGATTTACTTGTTATCTGCTGCTGTTGGAAGATCCTTTACCTTGAACATTTTATTAAAGATTTACTGTGTTATCTGCCGCTGTTGGAAGATCCGCCTTGAACTTTTTTCTAAAGATTTATTGTGTTATCTGCCGCTGTTGGAAGATCCTTTGCTTTGAACATTTTATTAAAGATTTACTTGTTATCTGCCGCTGTTGGAAGATCCTTTACCTTGAACATTTTATTAAAGATTTACTTGTTATCTGCCGCTGTTGGAAGATCCTTTACCTTGAACTTTTCTCTAAAGATTTACTTGTTATCTGCTGCCGTTGGAAGATCCTTTACCTTGAACATTTTATTAAAGATTTACTGTGTTATCTGCTGCTGTTGGGAGATCCTTTGCCTTGAAATTTTATTAAAGATTTACTTGTTATCTGTCGCTGTTGGAAGATCCTTTACCTCGAACATTTTATTAAAGATTTACTTGTTATCTGCCGCTGTTGGAAGATCCGTCGCCTTGAACTTTTCTATAAAGATTTACTTGTTATCTGCCGCTGTTGGAAGATCCTTTACCTTGAACATTTTATTAAAGATTTACTGTGTTATCTGCTGCTGTTGGGAGATCCTTTGCCTTGAAATTTTATTAAAGATTTACTTGTTATCTGTCGCAGTTGGAAGATCCTTTACCTTGAACATTTTATTAAAGATTTACTTATTATCTGCCGCTGTTGGAAGATCCGTCGCCTTGAACTTTTCTCTAAAGATTTACTTGTTATCTGCCGCTGTTGGAAGATCCTTTACCTTGAACATTTTATTAAAGATTTACTGTGTTATCTGCCGCTGTTGGAAGATCCTTTGCCTTGAACTTTTCTCTAAAGATTTACTTGTTATCTGCCGCTGTTGGAAGATCCTTTGCCTTCAACATTTTATTAAAGATTTACTTGTTATCTGCCGCTGTTGGAAGATCCTTTACCTTGAACATTTTATTAAAGATTTACTTGTTATCTGCCGCTGTTGGAAGATCCGTTGCCTTGAACTTTTTTCTAAAGATTTACTTGTTATCTGCTGCTGTTGGAAGATCCTTTACCTTGAACATTTTATTAAAGATTTACTGTGTTATCTGCCGCTGTTGGAAGATCCTTTGCCTTCAACATTTTATTTACTTGTTATCTGCCGCTGTTGGAAGATCCTTTACCTTGAACATTTTATTAAAGATTTACTTGTTATCTGCCGCTGTTGGAAGATCCGTTGCCTTGAACTTTTTTCTAAAGATTTACTTGTTATCTTCCGCTGTTGGAAGATCCTTTGCCTTGAACATTTTATTAAAGATTTACTTGTTATCTTCTGCTGTTGGAAGATCCTTTACCTTGAACATTTTATTAAAGATTTACTGTGTTATCTGCCGCTGTTGGAAGATCCGCCTTGAACTTTTTTCTAAAGATTTATTGTGTTATCTGCCGCTGTTGGAAGATCCTTTGCTTTGAACATTTTATTAAAGATTTACTTGTTATCTTGACCCTTGAGCGTAAGATATAATTACATACATTATAATTAACGACTAGAGTAATCCATAACATTGTGTTTAGGCACAAATAATTCAGTTAGTGAGCTTGGAACCACATCATTTAAAAAAAGAAAAGAGAAAGCTTACTTGAGTGTTATGCCTAGGTAGCCTATCCTTCAGAAAGAATTAGGAGAAAGAATAAATATCTATTTGAGCGCCGAAAGAAAGTGTTTTATATAATAACTATAGTGAAACACGCAATGTGATTGGTCAATAGCCGTGCAGGATCAGACAATCCTGCACGCGTTTTAGACAATCCTGCACGCGAAATTTAATTTTAATAAAGTTAACCGTTGTTTCACTACAGTTATTTTATAAAACAATTACCAAATGATTTTCCGTGCAGGATTGCGTGATCCATGCACTTGGGATGTTGCTCGACTTTCGGAAAGCGTGAAAATACACTCGCCTACGGCTCGTGTATTTTCACGCTTTCCGAAAGTCTCGCAACATCCCGCGTGCATGGATCACGCAATCCTGCACGGAAAATCATTTGGTATTCCTTTAGTATTAGTATAAACTTGACTTATTCCGAGTAAAATATTTTTTCCTGAATCCTTGGCAAGGAACCTAGTCATGCCAGCTTTTCAACAAGGAAAAGTGCTTTTGTGTACGGCCGTCAAGGAAATCCGCGAGGTTGTTTTAATTACGGCATAGGCAGTATAAAGCATTTGTTTCCCGATCACTTTGGCAAATTCTCCCATTCCATCCCTCTATTCCAAAAAAATCCATCCAGGTGTTCATGAAATATGATAGCCCAGTGATTATTAATTATCAATTTCTCTTGGTAACTTGGTAACCACTCAGTCGTCTGGAGCATCATGGGCAGGCGACAGCATTGAATGTTCTGACTTCTGAACACAAAAATCAAAGGGAAGCAGACTTGAAAAACTAATACAACCATGTATAAATTGTTGTTTTATCGCTGGTCATTGCTAGGACGATGATTTTTCTGCCGTGTGATACATACGTATATCGTCTATGAGTTTCTAAATCAGGAGTTGCATTGCTTTACTGGCAACAGTTTTATATGTCACTACGATCCTAATTAATATCAGGATAGAAGCGAGTGGTGTGTTGTTTTATTCTAATTCTATGTCATAGTGCACCATGGCTAGTCAAAAGAAGAAAGATAACAAAATGAGAATTCGTGCTTTCCCGGTAAGTTTGTTATCTTGTTCAGGATCTTCCATCCACCGGCAACATTTTTGTTTTATGTGAACTGGGAAATTTATTTGTAATTGCAGGTTTAAACGTCTGTGACAAATATAATATCCCTTATTTTTTTTTGTGTGTGACAGTATTTTATGCAACCTAAGCATTAGTCGTTTTTTTATGAAATATGGCTTCCCCATTTTTCTCTTGGTATATATTTTATGATACCATGTTGGTATGTTTGAAGAAACATCTCAGTTGCATTGCTATGATTGCATTAGAATATGACTGGTGCCAACAACAAATAGGCATATCTACAGGGATGGGTAAAAATGTGCTATTAATATGTCTATTCATCTGCTACTTAATATAACTACAAATACAATATTAGTGAAATGGCTGGGTATTTGCTACGTACAGCTTTCTCCAATTACAGTGACTCATTATGTATAATTACAATACAATATACAAAACATAAAGCATGAGAGTAAAAGCAGAATATTTTCTTCACAATTTCAATATACCAATATCAATTTTGTGCAGGCTCAATACATTTATCTCATGCACAAATTTTATTTATGTTTGCTACCATTTATAATGTTCTTAATACCCTAGTGCCGTAACATTCTTAAACAACTCAAATAAGTTTGTGATTGGTTGCCTCTGGTTTTTAGAGCACTGTTTATAACCGATGTGCTCTTTCTTACACTTATTTTTCTTATGGTTTGGGTTATGCTATCCAACGGAGCAAAATTATCTTCTAAACAAACACATTCATGAAAAATGTGTTTTTATTTTGACCAATAAGTGTGAAAATAAGCCATATAAAGGATGCTAATGTGCTAAAATCTTTAGGCTCTGTTTTAAACTTACTTCAAAACGTATTAGTTGGATGAAAAAAACTTTTATGTACGCTTTGTAAGAAATATTTTGCACATTAGCTATGAAACATTTAGTTCATACCAGTACGTAATGAATACCTGTGTTGTACAGTGTTCTCACTAGTAAAATAGAAGTTCTAAAATTTTGTGACTTGGCCCAATACCCCTGCTTCCTAAAGTTAGACAACTTTCTTAGATTTTTTTGTATATGTGGATATATAGAAGTAATAGTGAAACCATGTATGTGCCATATACCATACATACATATACCATACATACATATACCATATATGGTTTCACAGAGAAAAATATTTAAGTGTAAGTAAACTGACAAAAAGCAGCTTATTGTTCATGAAAACAGGTTTTTAAATTTAATTTAATTTAACATGTAAACATTCAGTGAAAGATTGACTGAAATTAAATTAATGGCCAAACTAGTTAATCAGCTCATATACGAGTCAATCTCATGGTATAGCTCTCAAGCTCCTGGTTTAATTGTTAAATATTGTCATGCTTTGCTTAAATGAAAGTTTTATTTGAAAGAACGTGACATTGTGGTCCAATTATACGCAATTAATATACTTTTAGTACTATGTTTGAAGGGTCTTAATTTCGAGTGGAATTATACACACTTCATATTCAAGCCATGAACAGTTGATGGAAAAATGAGTCAACTATAGGTCCTCCGGCTGGAATCGAACCGACGCTTAAACACCTAAGCGTATGTACGATTTTATGCGCGATTTTCTTCTTTTTGTAGATGTGAACGAGTCACTAGTTACGAATGAGTAATATACACTTAATGTACATATGCTCCCGAGGGAAATAGTGAGTTTTGTTTTCCCAAGAGTCTGAATGTTTCCCAAGAGTCTGAATGTTTCCCGAGACAAAGTTGAGGGAAATATTGAGACTCAAGGGAAAACAAAACTCACTATTAATTTCCCGAGGTAGTGTACATTAAGTGTTTTTTGTTATATAGGAACAAAAAGATAGATGTTACACAACAATTTCATTTAAAAAATACCCACTTTACTTTGTTATGACAAGAAGTGGGCAACAATTTTTTACTTGTTTCCCTGGCGGGAAACATTGCATTTATTCAAAGTCATGTGATTACGAATGAACTAATAACATTTAAAATACACAGCACCTATATAACAAGAGCTCTTATTTGAACGTCCGTAACTAATTCACTCGTTCACATTTATCAAAAGAAGAAAATCGCACATGAAATCGCAGCAAAAATCGCCAGTGTAAACTGGCCTTAAGATTTAATTCTAAAATTAAACGAGACTTACCTGTAAGTTGAAGTTTGATTGGAATTCTACAAGTCATCAGTCAGGAACGAAGGAGTCACATGAGAAGCGCCTGCGTGCTTTGCTGATCAGTTAGCGTAACGTAACGGTTGCAGGAACAAACGAACGAAGAGTCACGGGAGGGAAGGGAGTTTTACCATAAAAACATGTGGGCATGTGACTCCTTCGTTCCTGACTGATGACTTGTAGAATTCCAATCAAACTTCAACTTGCAGGTAAGTCTCGTTTAATTTTAGAATTATACTACGTCATCAGTCACGTCACTACGGAGTCACATGAGATTTCAAAGTCCTGCGACCGTTAAAGCTAATCCGACACATGAGGAAATTAGCAATAAAATGTACTTTTAATATCAACTATTTTCAACCACTGAACTATCTACAGATTGTCAGCTGTGTTCAAAAGCATTGAACCAAAGTTTTCCGTTTCAATATTCTTATCGTAAAACTTTGCAAACGTGGAAGAGTTAGACCAACCCGCAGATTCCATGATCTGTTTTAAGTTGAGACCAGCTGCTTTAACACGCGAAGTCGAGGCTGCCCGAGTTCTGTGAGAAGTGAATTTACCCGTATCAATACCAGAACAGTATTGATTTCACCCATCTGGCAATAGTATCCTTCGTCACAGCTTTATGAGGCTTAGCAAAACTCACTAATAACTAGGATTCGTTACCTCTTAACGTGGACGTTCTCTTGATGTATTCTTGGAGATATTCTAAAACACACACTCGCTTATCATTTGGGTATGATCGAAGTTCCAAAGGAACTTGATGTTTACCAGCCTTCGTGTGTTTTAACACTTCTCGAATATCGATGATGCATCTATTATCAATAAACTGAATGTAGCTTATGTTTATTTTGTGAATTGTCTGGCATCTCTGTCCCGTTAATAAACATAACAATGTCGAAAGATTCATTGTAAGATCTTTCAAACTAATTTGATTTACTGAACTAACTCTTTGTAAGTAACATAAAACTTTATTTACATATTTCAGAGTATTTAGGTATAAGGAAGGTTTCAACTCAAATACTCCCTTTAAAAAACGACAAACTAAAGGATCTTTACCAAATGGAACTCCAGCAACTGGCGTTATTACAGACGAAAGTGCCGACCGAGCCGTATTTATTGCGCTATATCCGATTCCCGAGTTATAGAGTTCTGTTAGGAATTCTATTGCAGCCGTGTTCCAAGGGATATGGAATGCAATATTTTTTCGAATGCAATAGTCTTCCCATCGTAACAGGTATGACTGGTATTGTTTCTGAGTGCCTTTTCACCATGAAGCCATTATAATTGCTCTCGCACCAGGCGAAAGCTCTTGGAGTTCTAATCTTTTACGGATAATAGACAGATCATCAGCGACAGCTTCTTGAACATTGCGTGTAACTCGTTTGGATGACTTGGTAGCGTCAATAGATGTTTCGATGCTTTCAAATGTATGGGTGGCTTCTCCAACATTGATAGCGCTTTCGGATACCATGGCTGTGTTGGCCAGTTTGGAAACACAACCACCCCCCTTGCTTTTTCTCTCTTTATCTTGCTCAACACATTTCCTATAAGACTGAATGGAGGAAAAGCGTAGAACATAAGTGACCTCCATGTTAGCGTAAATGCATCGACTGAAGATGCCTGTGGGTCAGGTCTGTACGAAACATATTCCTCAAATTGTTTATTTATCCTAGAGGCAAATAAATCAATATTGGGCGAAAAATCGAGTTCTATCAGTGCTTTTGTTAAACAGCATTTATCTAGCATCGATTCTGATGCTTTTACCGTTCGTCTCGATTCGAAATCTGCAACAAGATTATTCCGCCCTGGTATATGCACCGCACTTATCCATATCTGCTTCGTAATACACCATTCCCAGACCTGTTTTGCTAACAAATTACACTTATCAGAATGGCTGGTGCCCATATTGTTTATAATTTAATAATAATAATAATTTTAATACTTATATAGCCCTATTTACAGTGACAGATCAATAGCGCTTAACATGCACAGGTTCGTTCTATAAGCAATGTCTACAACCAGTATAAAATAGATAATTTACAAATCTAAAATAAAAATATTATATTAAAAATTGACTTCTATAAATTGACTTCTATAAATAAATTGACTTAAATTATTAAAAATTAACTTCTATATTAAAAATTGGTTAAAAAGATAGGTCTTAAGTGATTTCTTAAACAGTTCACTTGCAGTTATTGTTCTAATATTAACTGGGAGACTATTCCATAACTGAGGTGCAGCCGCATGAAACGATCTGCCACCCAATGTCACAAGCATTTTCTCTTTCGGAGGTTGCAGCAAAATGCCGCTGTTATATCGAAGACTATAGGAGGACTTAGACTTGACTGTAATCAAATCTTGAATGTAAGAGGGTGCTAGCCCGTGGATGGCCTTAAAAGTTAAAAGTAACACTTTAAAGTGAATTCTTGCGTGGACAGGAAGCCAATGTAGTTCGCGCAGAACAGGGGTAATGTGGGAGTGCTTCCGAATATCCATGACCAGTCTGGCAGCGGCATTTTGAACGCGTTGGAGTTTGGAAATCTGCTTTTTGGGAAGACCATAAAGTAAGCTGTTGCAGTAGTCTAATTTGCTGGTAATAAATGCATGTACTAAGATCAACAAGCTGTCTTTAGACAAAAACTTCTTAATACGCCTGATGTTATGAAGATGGAAAAAGCATGCTTTACATACATTTGTAACATGAGTGGACATCTTCAAATGTGAATCAAGCCAGCTTCCTAGATTCTTGACAATGGGCCTAGGATAGATTGTGGAATTGTTTACTGAGATGCTCGTAGGTTGTAATTTTATAATACTGACTGCAGATGTATTGTCCATCATTAACCTAATGTGCCAATTAGATATAGTTTTAGCAAATGTTTTTAAACCGAGGAAAGCGGCTAATAATTTTAAATAATTTATGTGCTCCTTAGCTTCAATGTGGGACCACTTTCCTCCAGTGGTTATGCTTTAGGATTCTGCTCCCCAACCTGACAAAGATGCATCGGTTGTAATAACTAAGGAGTGTTCCTTGTGTGAAATGGGTTTAAAAGCGTCGACCACATTTGTTGACCTAAGCTCTAACAAGCTTTGCTCAGATAGCGTCATTTTTGCATCAAAATTGCCGTGATTTATAGCTATAAGGCTGCTGTTTTAAAGTAAAGAGGGCCATAAAGCACCCCCGGAAAACTGGATACCAATTTTCCGATAATTTGAGCAAGTTCCCTTATCACTATATTTGCTCGGGATTTTCTGAGAAATTTCCGACAATCTAACTTTAGAGCTAAAGCTTTCTCTGGTATCAATTTGACTCTCATTGTGACAGAATTTATAACAAATTCTAAGATTATCAGTTCTTGAGAGGGAGAAAGGGAACACTTGTCAGGATGGACTACCAATCCCAGTTGTGTAAAAAGTTTGACTGTATCTATTAAATTAGAACAACACTTTTTTTTGTCTTGCCTTGTAAGTAAAAGTCATCTAAATGACTACACACAATGTGCCCCTTACTATGCAATGAGGACAGGGCCGGTTTAAGAATCTTAGTGAATTTTCTAGGTCCACTTGATAAACCATTTGGTAAACAAGTGAAGTGGTAGAAATTGCCATTACAGAAAAAACTCAAATATTTTCTGTCATTCTTGCGAATAGGTATTGAATAATATGCATCCTTGAGGTCATCAATAGATGCCATGAAGCATTCTTTATCAACCAATTTAACTATTGTATTTAAAGAATCCATTTTAAAATTATGGTAGGACACATGTGTATTGAAGTCCTTCAGATTTAAAATAACTCTATGGGTGCCATCTTTTTTAGGCACAGAAAAAATATTCGAGACAATTTCATTTTCTTCATGCTCTGCTAGCTCTATTATATGTTTCTTCAACATTTTGTTTATTTCACTATTTATGACTTCAGTTTCTGCACTGTTAAATTTAGTTTGAATGAAATAATGTTGATTTGGCCTGTCATGTAATTCAATTGTCATGCCCCGAATGTCAGATAGAATCTCTTTATCTGAAGTTATATTTATCCAATTTGAAAAATAATTTGAAATACCACCAACTTTGAAAAGGGCATCTAATTGCGTTAAGTATTCTTTTAAGAAAGGAATAAATGATTGCCATTTACTCACCAGTGAGTTAGAAGTCTGTATTGCCTTTAAATTTGTTATTATTTCTTGTAATGTTGTTGTTGTTGTTGCTGTTTCACACCTTTTTCCCTGTTGTGTTGAGGTTTGCCCCTCCGAAAATAATCCGAGCGCGAAAACCCATCATTGTAATTTTGCCCGCCATTTGTTTGGCGCCAATTTCGTTTGTCATGACCTTTTCGCGCCCAATAATTGTTGCGTGTGTGATTTGTATTGACAGCTAACCCTACATTACTTGCCTCTTTGGCATCTTTTAGTCGTTTGGGCAAATCATCCCCAAATAGTACTTGCTTTGAGTACCATCGTCTACACATATGGGGGCGTATTCTGGTTTTAAGACCGATTTGATTTTATAGCGCCGAAGACTTGCCAGCTCATGACTAATGTGCCCTAATAAAGCGATAGAATCCACTTGTTGAGTGAGCAACTGCTTTACATCTAGCTCGTTAGGCTTTTTATTTGTCAAGGAATGAGCCGTTTGCAAAGAAATCAGGACAGCTTTCCTGACAGATTCCTGTATCTTGGAGACATTCAAATCTGCCCGTTGTTGATACTGCGGGAGTTTTGACCATATCTCCTGGTTGACTGTCATTGAGCAAACTGTTGGGCAATTTGCAGGACGTTTGTACTTTTCTTGAATTAGTGTAAGCTTTTCAGGCGGTAGTTTTTTATTCCACCTGTTCTCAGCTATAGTAGCCAATCGAGGAATGATATCATCGCTCGTTGCTTCTACTTCCTCGAAATTTTCGTCTAATTTCTTAAGGGTATCATCATGCAATTCATCTTTGGCAGCCGAAACAGTGATGTCATTTTTGGCGCCATCTTGTAGTAGAAGCGATACATTATCGTCCTCATCCTGCACATGTATGCTCACTTTATCTTGATCACAGTCGTTCCTTTCGTCTGTTTCGTGACGAGTTTTACGAGATTTTCGGCTACGGCGACGACGATCATCATCGTTGTCACTGTCAGAGGTAGAGCTGGAATTTGAGGACGAGACCGACGTGTTCGAGCTCGATTTTGAGCGTTTTTTCCCTCGTCGTTTGTGCTGGGGTTGTTCAACTTGGCTCATCTTTGTCCTGAGATTGTTGCCATAAATCACCCAGCATCGAAGCCATGTGGATCATAGTTTGATTAAGTTCAACTAATGTGTGAGCCAACATGGGATTTGTGGACTGTTGTTTGTCCTGGGGCTCTACTATTTGATTTCTTTCCGTTGACTGTGAAATATTTTCAGCGTCTTTAGTCGCCATATCTGTGTTTCAAAAAACGCAGGAGAAATACACACATTCATTCGCACTGTACTTACGTTCTTTTCCAAAATTATTTTCCGTTGTACCCTACCTGCGACGATTATTTCGTTATAAAAATCTTAAAACAGCAAAACGGCGTTTTGTTTGATCAACAAGCTTGCAAACACTGATCAGCGAAGCACGCAGGCGCTTCTCATGTGACTCCGTAGTGACGTGACTGATGACGTAGTAGAATCAAAGTTATAGCAAACAACGGGCGATTTTAAAGCGATTGAAAAAGTCACTACTGGTGGATAGCGCTATCCGGCTTTCATACAACCGGTCCCATATGTTTAAAACATAAATATCTGGCTATAGTCAATATGCACCCCCTCCCCAAAAATAAGCGGTCTAGCCTACGGCCTTAAATCACGTACTTTATGTACGTCACCCTGTGACCGATCTTTTAATCATTTCAATAATTAATCAATATAAAAACAATTTACAGCAAAACCACGTGTAGTGCACTAAGTTAGATAAATTTACAGGCGATGCGCATACAACAGCGTACAATGTCCCTTGACCTTATAAAGTGCTGCTTTTATTGCGTACTGTACAAATTAGGATGCTTAACGTATCTAGCTATAACAATATAATTTTCCTTCAGATGACCATGGACGAAAAATATGTCGAAGGGATTTGGAATTTGTTAAAAAATGCTATCCAGGAAATTCAAAAGAAAAACAACAGTGGGTTGAGTTTCGAAGAGCTGTACAGGTGATTTATTTTTTTAAAGATCAATATTTTTTATTTATCCTTATTATATATTTTTTTGTTTCTGTTGTATTTATTGCAATGCTGGTAATTTGCGTCATGTTTGGCCACCAGGAAAATAATTTTCCTACATTTTCGGAGGCTGTTTCACCTAGGTTAACATGTTTTTTTTTTGACTAGGTGAAACAGACTCTGAAAGTGTAGAAAGAAAATAAATTATTTTTTCTATAATACTTAACTTCAAAATTTCTGAACTTCGTTGGACTATCTTCCCCAAATTTTACATTTTGCAAGCGACGTCGTTCATTTCATTGCTTTCTCTAAATCCACGAGATGCCTATGGCACAACGTCCTTAATGAAACGCGGTTGATCTCCCTGATCCAAGTCTTATATCAAGCATATATAGTTATATAGGTGGATACGTCAGATTTAGCCTCCGAACGATGCCCTGATGCAAAAACGATCAGCATTTTTTCAACACGATATTTATCCTTATTATATAGTTTTTCTGTGGAAAATAATAGGGCATACTAGAACGCATTGAGCGCTTTGTCAACAATTTGTCTGAAAAGAGGAGCCTACTGTATCAGACTATATATCTCTCCATCACATGGAACATGTGTTAAAAATGTATGCCTATTCCATGCCATTACAATCCTATCCATCAGATGCATTCACCACACTGTCTGATCTTTTGCCCTGTTGAATTGAAACCTTGGACAAGCTAAATCTTTGTCGATGTTAGTAATAATTTCCTCTAGCCATGCAGCTATTTCGCGACATCATGCTTTCAGGCAGCATTTATACCAATTTTAACCTAGTATAATAGTAGAAACAACCTGATCACTTCACTATGCACCATGTCGACGATACGCAGACGAAATAAGCGAATTTGCCTTCTTGCAACTTTCTTACTTACTTACTGCCCATCATGCCTATGTGGCACATAGGGCAGCAACGAAATCTTTCCAACCCTGCTTATCTTTAGCCAGTTTTTCAATGGTGCTCCAGCTGTAATTGAGCTCCCTCAGTCCCTTTTCTACAGTTCTGCGCCAAGTTGTTTTTGGGCGCCCTCTGCTCCGTTTACCTTCAGGTGTCCAGCGCATTGCAATTCTGGCTATGTTGTTATTGCTCTTTCGCAGCACATGCCCGATCCATCTCCATCTTCTCCTGGTGATAAGGGTACGAATATCCTCCTGCTCGGTTTGCCCCAGAAGCTGATCATTTGATATTTTCCGGGGCCAGAAAATTCTCAGAATCTTCCTGAGGCTAGCTGTGCGAAAAGACGCCAGTCTTGAAAGACCGTGTTCCGTCACTCGCCAGCATTTCTACTGCTACTTATAATCGGTCCGTTTTTAGAATGCGAATGGTCAGCATCCTTTTAAATGTGAATCTGGTTTTATCAAAGAAGTATTCACACCATTGTCCAAACAAATCACTATCGTATCCTGTTTATAAGTATATGCTATGTCAGTTTCTCTATACTAAGTGGCTCCTCGACCATATTTTTGAAATTTTTTGAAACTCTTTGCATGGTTATACCATAGACAATCCAAAAGACAGGGACTGGAAACGCTGTGATAAAAGCAGCGATGCTGGCGTGCAATCCGTGATGCGGCTAAATCACGTAGCAATTATCTGTTGCCCTGACAACCTGCCCTAATTTAACCAAAATAATCACAAACCTGTTTTATATTTTTTGCCTTTTGGCATTTTTTAAATTTTTATTTACATTGAAAATTTATATTATTGTAAAAATAGATATTATTCCTCAAGGTATGTATGATCTAATATTTTTTCCTCTAGTTTATAGCAATCAAATCTTAACTTTTATCGGAACCTTTACATCAAAATGGCACACGAAAAAAAATCCGCGAGAGTGTACATATGTTTCGAACCCTGAAACTTGAAAATTAAGCAATCCCATATCGGTTATATCAGAAATTTGTCGTCTTAAATACACTGTGAGTGCATTTAGCGCATCAACATAGCTATGCGATTCGCCAGTTTGGTAAAATAAAGGCCTTTTTCACGCTACTACTTTTGCATCAACCGGAAATGGCTATTTCTGTTTCCCCTACTCCGAACCCTAGAACTCTAGTTTAAATAAAGTTCAGGCTTCCTAATTTACATCTTTTGAACAAAAATAGACCCTTGGGTGCACTTAACCGAATTTTAAGCATACATTGGGTCAAACAGAACTAAAAACTCCCTTTGAGTGCTTGCGTATTGTTTTTGTCTGTAAAAACGTCGCCATTCTTGTTGTCAAAGTTTGTACTCACTTCGAACCCTGTAACTATAGTTTTAATACACTTCAGGCTTTGTAATTCACATCTTTTGAACAAAAATAGACCTTTGGGTGCACTTAACCGATTTTTAAACATATACTGGGTCAAATAGAGCTAAAAACCCCCCTTGACTGGTTGGGTATTGTTTTTGACCGCAAAAACATCGCCATTGTTGTTGTCAAAGTTTGTAGTTACTTCGAACCCTGTAACTACAGTTTTATTACACTTGAGGCTTTGTCATTTACATCTTTTTAACCAAAATAAACATGTGGATGCACTTAACCGATTTTTAAACCTATATTGGGTCAAACAGAGCCAAAAAACCTCTTTCAATGCTTGCGTAATATTTTTGACTGTAAAAACTGAGTCGCCATTGTTTTTGTCAAAGTTTGCACTCATTTCGAACCCTGTAACTATAGTTTTAATACACTTCAGGTTTTGTAATTTATATCTTTTTAACAAATATAAATCTGTGGATGCACTTATCCGGTTTTTAAACCTATATTGGGTCAAACAGAGGCGAAAAACTTCGTTTGAATGCTTGCGTAATGTTTTTGACTTTAGAATTGAGTCGCCATTGATGTCGCTGCTGTCCGCATCACGGATTACGCGTGAAAAAACAATAGCGTTTCCAGTCCCTGTCTTTTGGATTGTCTATGGTTATACGTAATCGCACTCGAAATCATGCATGATAATTGCCGTATCGTTCTTCTAACAATGTAATTCTCTACAAGTAATTGAGCTGATTTTATGTCTCTAGGAATGCATATACAATGGTGTTACACAAACATGGCGAAAGGCTCTACACTGGCCTAAAAAGGGTGGTCACAGAACATTTGGAACAGAAGGTAGGTTCGGCTTTTCAGCGTACATGCAATGTGATGGGGGTTATCTCGTAAGCGGATGAAACGTAATCGATAATGTAGACATTGCATGAGATTTTAAAATCATGTATACACCATGCACATGACCAAGCCTTGCATACATATGTATTAACGTAGCATGACGGATGACCTGTAACACGCACTATATACACGCACCATATCCATCACAAACTCTCGCGATAAATTATTCATATGAGCTTCACTTCTTTGGAAGATATTGTCAATCAAACTGAAGTACCTACTAAACATCAATGTGGTTTAAAAGTTTTACACGTGTGTAAAAGTTAATTGATTGGATTTCAATGACATTCAAGTTGATGTTTCTTCAGGTTCGAAAAGATGTTGTAGATTCTCTAAGGAATAATTTTTTGGATGTTCTTAATCTCGCATGGAGTGACCACCAAACATCAATGGTTATGATTCGTGATATTCTCATGTATATGGTAGGCTGCACAGTTTCATTCCAATACTGCAATATAAAAGAGAACTAAGATAGAGACTATATATATATTATATATATATATATATATATA